AAATCACCTAATGCAAGATCAGATTTTTCTCTGGGGTGAAGCTCATACTGCACATGCCAGTGATGTGCCACAGAAAGCAGTGTTTTTGCGGCACATAATTCATAACATTAAAGCTGTTTGATAACATGAATCCATCCCACCAAATTGTGAATTCCACTCCATATTCCTTTGTTGTTATTTATATTTAAGAGAGCAGTGCTGCAGATTACTCACCACGGAAATCATACTTTTGGCAAGTTACTTGTTCTAGTCCATGGAAAGTTAAGTGACAGGAAGAAATTACCCCACCTGTGTAAACATTAATACTGAGCATTGCAAAATGTCCCTATTGTAGAAGAAAAAAAATCATGGAGAATTCCTGGGGAAAAAAATCAAAAGTTTAGATGGATCACTTAAAACTCATCAGCATTTCCCTTTATCTTTGAGCTACAACTTGCTTATTTACTCTTTTGTTTCATTATTATTATTTATTTCAGGAGAAAATGATAGTTGCTCAACAGATTAAAATCCTTGGTTTCAAATTAAATTAAACTAAGCAGTCAATTCATGAGCTTATTTCTTGTAGGCACACATTACATAAGGCATCACTTACTCTGGAATACTTCCCTGTAAACAAATTACTGGACGTTTCTTGCAAGCCGTCATGAGAAATGAAAATAAAAATCCTCTAGTGTCTGATCATAATGAATCTTTCAATTAAAAAGAGGTTCAAAAGGTTGGGTGGGATTGGAGACTGCTTGACCGAGGAGGAACATGAAGTTTCTTTTCAAAATTCACCGTAGCTATTGGTACCGCTGATGCTTTGTTTCCATTCTGGTATCATCAAAGTTTTATCAGTGCATCACTTATTCTTTGAGTCAACTTAAGCTTTTGATGTCCTTGCTTCATTCTTTTTGGCCATATAAAAACTTCTTTGCCCATTAGAGGAGAAAAGCACCCTTGCAAATTGACCCAGGCAGCCACAGTGAAGAATCAAACAATGATATCAGCCTTCAAGATTTACATTTGTAGGAATCCTTTTCTGTCTTGGGTCATATACCTATAGCCATCATCAGTGCAAAAGCTGAGGGGGAGGCACTGAATGCCCAAGAAAAGACAATTGCCTGATGGCAGCCGTGAAGTCTGTTTTACAGTCTTAGTCCAAAATATCTGTTTCAAATGGAACCAGATGATAGTATGACAAGTTGGTGACATAAGCTGTTGGGTCATCAGTGTCCTGCAACTCAGAGGTAAATTCACTAACATTTTCAAACCTAAAAATGGACAAAACAAAGAACTGTCATTCATACTTGGACATACAATAAAGAAGATAGTGACACAAAAGGAGACATGGGTTTATATTTTCTATGTTGTAACACCACCACCACCACCAAGATAATAGCCTGAGGTGGACACTATAAGCAGGAGTGGGATTCAAATTTTTTAACAATCGGTTCTGTGGGCGTGGCTTAGTTGGTGGGCATGGCTTGGTGGTCATGTTATTGGCTGGGCGTGGCCAACTCAACATCACTCACATCAAGGCACGTATCTCCTTGCCTGGCCTCTCATGACTGTGGGGGTGCTGCAACAGTTGTAAGTGTGAAAAATGGTCATAAGTCACTTTTTTCAGTGCCATTGTAACTTTGAATGGTCATTCCACACAAACAAAGTACCAGCAAAGGAGGGGGAAAAAACTCCAGAGACATTCCTGAGACAGGAAGGCTAGTCCTACCAAGAATGTAATAAGGGTTAACGGAGAGGCAGTTTCTGTAAGCAACACCAGAATGTTTCCTTCCTGCCTTCCTTACAGGATTAGGCCAGTAATTTCTTCTAACAGCCGGTTCTCCGAACTGCTTAGAATGTTAACAACCGGTTCTAGCGCATAGGTGCAAACTGGTAGAATCCCACCTCTGACTATAAGTCATTAGCCCAGCCAGAATTTGGGGAATTCACACGACTGGTCAAATTTATCTGTCTTTTCAAAAAGATTCTCCAGTCTGAGCAATCTACAAGAGCACCTGTATAGATACCGCTGGCCTATGGGATTTGAACACCTTGATCTTGAATGCAAATAAACTTGCCTGACCTTTGCTGTCTGCTCTGCACCTTGTTTCCTGTCTGATTTGAATGATGCCATTCTTTCTATCTCTTTCAAAAGATCTATGTGTAAGGATTCCAATTCGAAGTGGCAGAGTGGGCTCTTCCTTAAAAGAGACTAACTGGATCTGTGAGATGATCATAGATCCAATCAACAAACAGCTACAAGAACATAACTAAATCTAGGGCTCCATTTAATCAGAGATTCCTTAAACGTGTTCTTCCAAGTCAAGATTTGGCATTTGTAATTACCATACCACCTGATTCCCCTTCCAATGGTACAAACACCAAGCACTATGCCAACTTGCAAAATCCTAGAATAAATAATTGAAAAGCAATAACAGTGATACATTTGAAACCAAAAGTTTTCCTTTTTAAAACTCTGTTCTTCAAGGAAGAGATGCAACCAATAAAGGGTTTGCTCTACTCTTACATTCATCAGAGCTAGTTGGTCACACCTAGAGTACTGCATTCAGTTTTGTTCACCACATTATAAAAAAAGATGTTGAGACTCTAGAAAAAGTACAGAGAAGAGCAACTAGGATGATTAGGGGACTGGAGGCTAAAACATACAATGAACGGTTGCAGGAACTGGTCTTGGCTAGTCTAGTAAAGAGAAGGATCAGGGGAGACATGATAGTGGTCTTCCAATATTTGAGGGGCTGCCACAGGGAGGAAGGGGTCAAGCTATTTCCTAAAGCGCCTGTAGGCCAGACAAGGTATAATGGATAGAAACTGAACAAGGAGAGATTTAACCTGGAAATGAGGAGAAACTTTCTGACAGTGAGAACAATCAACCAATAGAACAGGTTGCCCTCGGAAGTTGTGGGAGCATCATCACTTGAGACTTTCAAGAAAAGATTGGACTGCCATCTGTCAGAAATGGTGTAGGGTCTCCCGCTTGGGCAGGGGGTTGGACTAGATGACCTTCCAACTCTGATTACCTGTTATCTGTTATTTGCAGCCATCATCCTCTGAAAATGGAGTTTAGGTAACAACTGCCTTGGAATATTGCTCAAGTTGTTTCACTATTGCACTATATTTCTCATGGTAACGCACTATTTTTAAGCCACTCACAAGATTTGAAAAAACAACCAAAAAAAAGAGAATAGTTTGAAAAATAATTACAATATTAGGAAGCAACAGAAGAGAGGATTATAGAAGAGAGAATTAGAAGTAGAGAGAAAAGGGGTGAAAAGGGGAGGGAGAAGAAGATGGGGAAGAAGGAAAGGAAAAGAAGTTATAAAAGACAGAAACAAGATATAGAGAAACAGGGAAAAGGTATAAGGATTGAAAGTATAAGCCTGTTTAGAGATAATGGGTGAAAATTTAATTGTAAAAGGGATTCTGCAAAAGTACATAAGATAGTATTGTTATATTACAAATAGAAATAATTTTAGAAAATATGACTTAAATGATGGATAAAATATTTATTGTAATGCAGTAGAATGTTTGTTAATAAATAAATGAAATAAACTGAATGAGAGAATGAAATTAGGAAAGGATGGGAACATTTTAATTATTATTAATGATTTATAAAAATATAAGTGAAGAGAAATATGGGGAAAAAAAGAATTAATTATGGAAAGTTTATAAGTGTTCACAAGGAAGTATGATATTCAATTGAAAAGAAATGTTAAAGATGTTAAGAGTGTTTTATTTACTATTGTCATATATATATAATTTTTAAGAAACATAGTATTTTAAGAATGTACCAAGCAGAATTCGATTGGAAGTTACGTATTATATTGAATGTTATAATTTTAAAGGCATAAATTGAAGCCTAAATAAGAGTTGAATGGTTAAAATTAAAAGATATAAAGTGTCATACTCCAATTAATAACTACAGGGGAAAGTTTGTTTAATGAGAAAAAATAATATGAAATTGGAACAGGACAGACAAAAGTACAAATACAATTATTTGAATTGTGATATAATTAAAAATAAAGTCGAGAAAATCAAAGGAGGGGAAAAACTATGTAGAAAATGTAAAACAGTAATAAGATATGGAATAGAACATAAAGATGAGCATGAAATGGAGTTTGTGTCTGTATGAAGAAGTGATAACCCGGGACCATGCTATTTTCAAAAAAAGATGTTTTATTTGTATTATGGTTTTTTTTGTGAAAACCCAAATAAAATTTATATATATATAAAAAGAAATGGTGTAGGGTCTCCCGCTTGGGCTGGGGGTTGGACTAGATGACCTTCCAACTATGATTACCTGTTATCTGTTATTTGCAGCCATCATCCTCTGAAAATGGAGTTTAGGTAACAACTGCCTTGGAATATTGCTCAAGTTGTTTCACTATTGCACTATATTTCACATGGTAACTCACTATTTTTAAGCCACTCACAAGCCACAATTTTGCAATCTGCAAGGGTTTCCTCAAATGATGCAACCGATGAATCACAAAGAAATCTTCTATTCTGAGTACATGCATTTTAATTTACAGTTAATTATGACAAGGTTTTATCTATACATTAGGAGGCTCCATTGTATTATAAACTAGAGTGAAGAATGAAGGAAAGAAGTTAGCTAGAAAGCACCTGAGCAATGAGTGATACATCTGAAGCCCATTTCACTCTAAAAAGCTTTTGGCAGCCGCTTTGAAGACCTTTGTGCTTGGCAGAAACTCAAACTTAACTTTTTTTTAAATTTCTGAAAATAAAGATGGCATTTCTTTGATCATTGGCTTTTGCAGCATTGAAGTACAAATACTGCACCAGAGATGAGGTTTTATTCCAGGGTAAATTTATTCAAATACAAAGCTTCTTGACAATGGTATATCAGCCATAGTAACAACTTGGTTAACTTGTTCTCGATGGATCAAGCCTTGCAAATGCCCAGGTTGGTATCACAAACTGGTTACTAAATAGCCTGTTGACCTGGACTTGTTGAACAGCAGAAGCCCTCCACAACCAGTTTTTCAGGAAACCTTGATTTTTTTTTTAACAACCTTGAGCAGGGGCTATGCTAATCTTCTCTGTATCGTTCCAATTTTAGTATATGTGCTGCTGAAGCGAGCATGGGTGGTTGTATTTTTTATAGAACGGTACTTTAAATATTTTTCAAATAAAAACATGTCAGAGAGAACACGGGGTGCAGTAAACTGGTCTCCATTTTAGTCATGGGCGGCTGAGGTTTACACCGTAGATGAAAAGGATATAAATTTGTGTGCTCTGCCCCAAATCTCTTTTTTTTTTAACGCTTTCCATAAGATTCACGATTCACGTATTTTAGATAGGTTGTTTACTGGATCATGGCTCATTCTGCACATTTTCTGACTCGCAATTTTACTATGGACAGATCATAACCTGAATTTTATGTGCAAGTGGATCATTTCAAACTATCCTAACTGCAGCAAGAATACTCTACAGATAAAGGCACAAAGGGGAGAGACTGCCACCTATTGAAAGAAAAACAGCTTTTTTTGAAGGACTTGTATTGAGTTTATCTGCTTCCTCTTTAATCAAAAACCAAATCATGATCCTTTCACAAGTTTGAATGTTCATCCGTGTGGAGAAATATAGTCAGTATGTTATTCAATCCTGTCTTTAGATTAAATGCACAGAAGTAGAAATGGCACTATTATAGTTCGGGATATGTAAAACGATTGAACAAATTGACACAGGATCTGTTAAAATAGCTACACACACACACATACACACACACACACAGATTCATGAGCCTATGGCTATATAACATACCTAGCATAATGTTTGGTCCTTAGTAACATTTTTTTTGTGGTTAGTATTTTTTCCTATTCTGCCACCCTCTTCAAGACTTCGTTTTTTACATTCTAAATGTTTGTAGGGATTCTCAGTCATCCAGGTCATGGCTGTCCCAAAGGTGCTTTTTTCAGGAGGCAACTGGACTTTCTTATCCAGCAGTAGGATGGATTTCCAGAGGAAAAATATTGCAGACTGCAGGAACAGGTGACCCTGAGGATACCGATAAACCTCCAAATGCTTCAAGGACCCTCTAAAAGGATGCAAATGACCAGCTGTCTGCAAGGAAGATAAATTCTTCCATTCCCCACTATCCTGTCAGAGCTGAAGAAGTTTCTTGAATGAGAAGAGAAACGTCTTCAAAAGAAAAAATAAGAAAATCCAGTTGCCTCCTGAAAAAAAAGCAGCTTTGGTAACACTCCAAATATTTAAACTCTTGTAAAATTCTGGCAGGGACACATTCATCACCTGCCACACCCAGGATTCTTCTGTGACACAACTCAGACTGTCATCATGTTATCCACAAAGATTGTGTCTAGCTGATCTAGCTACTAACCCATAAAACCAGCTCTAGGCATGATAAAGATAATCTAGAGACAGAAGAGAAAATAACTGCAGGCAACTGCAGTTCCAATTCTGCATTGGTAACATGGTCTCTAATTCCCTTAAGTGATGGTGGACAGGGAAGGAAGAGCCAATTCACCTTTGCTTTTAAAACAAGCAAAACTAGTGCAATATTTAATGCAGAGCAACCAAGGAAAAATGCCTTAGAAATGACTTAGAAATATTTTTTTGGAGAAAAAGGAAACAAGCCCTGAAATGGAGGCTTGTAAGGGTGGAAGGAGGTCTCACTGAGACAGGTAGTCCCCGACTTACGACCATAATTTGAGCCCAACGTTTATGTCGTTAAGCAAGACGTTTAAGTGAGTTTTGGCACATTTTACAATTTTTCTTGTCACAGTTACGCTGTGGTCGCTAAGTTAGTGACACGGTTGTTAAGTGAAACTGGCTTTCCCATTGACTGGGCTTGCCAGAAAGCCTCAAAAGGTGGAGCATATGATCCCAGGATGCTGTGACTGTCATAAATACGAATCAATTGCCAAGCCTCTGAATTTTGATCATGGGACCATGGGGATACTGCCATGGTCTTAAGTGACCAAAACGGTCATAAGTCCCTGTTTTCAGTGCTGTCATAACTTTGAACGGTCGCTAAGTGAACTGTTGTAAGTCGAGGACTCCCTGTATTCACCAGGTTTATAAAGACTACTTTTGAGCTCTAATGGATGAGCTCCCTGACCCCTTTGAATGGAAAAGGATGGGCGACTGAGAACGTATCTGAGCTGCAAGGAATGCATTGGCCTCTGGTCCTACTTAGTCTACAATACAAAGAAGTGGCAATACTTCCTCCTCCCGATCAGGAGTTCAGTATTTTGTTTCTCAATTACACTCAACATGGGGGAGAAAAAAGACGTGTGGTTTTATACCTACAGGAGAGGGTGTATATCCAAGGATGACGATTACTTACAAGTGTTCTGCTGAATCGGCATCACAGTGTCTTTCTTTGCCGTTCGGTATACTGTGATCGATCACTATCGTTTCAGTATTAGCTAAACAAAATCCGTTCGAACGCATGATTTCTGAAGAAAAAGAAAAGCGAAACATTACAAACCTGAACTATATTTCTAAAAAGGTACATGCTTAAAGGTAAGTATATAGCCTCCTATTTCAGGGTGTGCGGTCTAGGGAATTCACAGGATTGCTATTAAAACAGTCAGGAAATCCCAATTTCCTGATGTTTACTCAGAAGTTAAGTTCCTCCAAGGAAGACGATAATAAGGTGGCTTTTCTGTACAATTAAAAAAAACAAACCCACAAACATAATCCTTGAAAATACAATCATAATACAGACATTCTTTAATGAAGGATGAGAGAGAGAAGAAGAAACTATCGTACTTCTAAACCCTGTTTATACAGTTTGATGGCAAGCAGCACTGGAGCTGGCAGGGTTCCTGAAGCCTGGAAAATACTCAATAGTATGTCTCTTGGGGTTGGCAGTTACTACAAAAAAATTAGGCAGGATTTTTTTTACTATTGCAAGCAGATATTAAATTGATCTCTTCTGGCAGCGGTGAAGTTTGGCAATGATAGAAAACAATAGCCGGGATGCATAAGGCTGCTTGGAAGGCCCCACACAGCCTACCAGATGAATATTGTGCAGATCTGCTCTGAATTTCCTTGTGCCACTGTTTGGGAGTGACATAATGTCTGAAACACTGAGGGGAGTTCATCAGTTTCCTTTATATGAACTGAATGATCAAGGTTTGAGAGCAAAAAAATATTCGTACCTCCAAGAATCAAGGGATCACCCCTCTGCAATTTCAATATGTGATTGAATTATTAATTGAATAAATTTTAAAACAATATTTAATGTCATTAGAATTTGAGGCCTACACAGAACAAGTGTGCTATTTTCCCATGTTCAGTCTGAAACATTATAAGGTAAAGGTAAAGGTTCCCTTCACACATACGTGCTAGTCATTCCCGACTCTAGGGGGCAGTGCTCATCTCCGTTACAAAGCCAAAGAGCCAGCGCTGTCCAAAGATGTCTCCGTGGTCACGTGGCCGGCATGACTAAACGCCAAAGGCGCACGGAACGCTGTTACCTTCCCACCAAAGTGGTCCCTATTTTTCTACTTGCATTTTTACATGCTTTCAAACTGCTAGGTTGGCAGAAGCTGGGACAAGTAATGGGAGTTCACTCCGTTACCCGGTGCTAGGGATTCGAACCGCCAAACTGCCGATCTTTCTGATCGACAAACTCAGCGTCTTAGCCACTGAGCCACTGCATCCCTCTGAAATGTTATAGACTAAAGTATTAATCTCCATCATGAATTTGTTTTTCCAAGTTCCGAAATAATTTTCTAGAAGTATGATAAATGTTAATCCAGAACACATGTATTCCTTAATAATTTCCAAATCCCATTATATACACAAACACATTGCACATATGTGAATGCACACATACACACAAACACTCTTTCTTTCTTTCTTTCTTTCTTTCTTTCTTTCTTTCTTTCTTTCTTTCTTTCTTTCTTTCTTTCTTTCTTTCCTTCCTTCCTTCCTTCCTTCCTTCCTTCCTTCCTTCCTTCCTTCCTT